TAGTAGAGTATTTAACAGGACAACCAAACTGTAACATTAATAGTAATAATGAGAGACACCCTCTACTAGCAGCAACAGATAAAGAACATTTAGAAATAGTGAAGCATCTCATTGAATCTACTGACTGTGATATTAATGTTAGAGAAGAGGGAACTGGGTCCACTCCATTACATAAAGCATGTTATAATGGATCACTGTCGATAGTAGAATATTTGATATCTAAACCACAGTGTGACATTGAAGCTAAAGACAATGAAGGAAACCAACCACTTCATTATGCAGCATGTCAAGGACACAAGGAAATAGTTTCAATATTAGGAAAGAAAGTGAGGGAGGATGGTTTATATAAATGTATGGAATCAGCAAAGGAACTAGCAGAACCAGATATAATGGAACTATTAAATAATCAATATAAAGATAGGAGATCATTAATTGATGCTTGTAAATCAGGAAATGTAGACATTGTACATCATCTTGTGATTGATAAACACTGTGATGTTAATGCTAAAGAGAGGTTTGGCAATATACCATTACATTATGCGTGTGAAAAAGGTCATTTTGAAATTGTTGAAATTTTAACTAATCATCTACAATATAATAATATTGAAGCTGCAACTGATTATAAGGACAGACCACTTCACAAAGCATGTGAATCTGGAAATGTAGACATTGTACGTCATCTTGTGATTGATAAACACTGTAATGTTAAAGCTAAAGGGAGGAATGGCTTAACTCCATTACATTTGGCATGTGTAAAGGGTCATTTTGAAATAGTTAAAATTTTAACTAATCATCTACAATATAATAATATTGAAGCTGAAACTGATTATAATGACAGACCACTTCACAAAGCATGTGAATCTGGAAATGTAGACATTGTACATCATCTTGTGATTGATAAACACTGTGATGTTAATGCTAAAGCCTGGATTATCAATGGTACACCATTACATTATGCATGTGAAGAAGGTCATTTTGAAATTGTTAAAATTCTGACTAATCATCCACAATGCAATACTATTGAAGCTAGCAGCTTCTTCAATGAAAGACCACTACACAAAGCATGTAAATCTGGAAATGTAGACATTGTACATCATCTTGTGATTGATAAACACTGTAATGTTAATGCTAAAGAGAAGTTTGGCAATACACCATTACATTATGCATGTGACAAGGGTAATTTTCAAATTGTTGAAATTTTAACCAAATCACAATGTAACACTATTGAAGCTGAAGGCACTGATAGTCTGAGACCACTACACAAAGCATGTAAATCTGGAAATGTAGACATTGTACGTCATCTTGTGATTGATAAACACTGTGATGTTAATGCTAAAGACAAGGATGGCTATACACCATTACATTATGCATGTGACAAGGGTAATTTTCAAATTGTTGAAATTTTAACCAAATCACAATGTAACACTATTGAAGCTGAAGGCACTGATAGTCTGAGACCACTACACAAAGCATGTAAATCTGGAAATGTAGACATTGTACGTCATCTTGTGATTGATAAACACTGTGATGTTAATGCTAAAAACAGGGATGGCTATACACCATTACATTATGCATGTGACAAGGGTGATTTTCAAATTGTTGAAATTTTAACCAAATCACAATGTAACACTATTGAAGCTGAAGGTACTGATAGTCTGAGACCACTACACAAAGCATGTAAATCTGGAAATGTAGACATTGTATGTCATCTTGTGATTGATAAACACTGTGATGTTAATGCTAAAGACAAGGATGGCTATACACCATTACACTACGCATGTGACAAGGGTGATTTTCAAATTGTTCAAATTTTAACCAAATCACAATGTAACACTATTGAAGCTGAAGGCACTGATAGTCTGAGACCACTACACAAAGCATGTAAATCTGGAAATGTAGACATTGTACGTCATCTTGTGATTGATAAACAATGTGATGTTAATGCTAAAGACAGGGATGGCTATACACCATTACATTATGCATGTGACAAGGGTAATTTTCGAATTGTTAAAATTTTAACCAAATCACAATGTAACACTATTGAAGCTGAAGGCACTGATCGTCTGAGACCACTACACAAAGCATGTAAATCTGGAAATGTAGACATTGTACGTCATCTTGTGA